ACACCTCCATTGGACTCCTCTGTTCACTTCTGTAACATAGTGTCATCACTATGTTACACTTGTGTGTCTATTGGCTAGCGCTCCAACACATTGTACATGATATACAATGCAATAAAAGTATAGTTTAACAATTATTTTAAAAGAGGACTCAATTAAGCATTATACATTTGTGAAAGTTTATGTCTTTACTATTCCTTATAAGGCAAAAGTTAAGTTTTCAATTCAATGCCAGCTTTGTGATCAATATTAGAATTTAGGTAGGGACCAAATGTGACATAATGTCTAGATATTACTGTTGATAGAATAACATGTGGTCTACACTTTTTTCAAAACATTTTATTTGAAATTCATTGTTAGATTTATTATTTGTAAGTAAGAGTGCTTAGGGTTGAAATCTGAACTGGTTGAACAGCAGTGTTTAATATAAACAGTCTTCAATGTTGGTATCGTAATATCTTGTGAAATGTGAAATAATTAAAACACATTCTAACTATATAATGTAACAATTCTGTCAATTTTGTTAATGTACAAAATCTAATACAATTGTGAAATAAAAATACAATTGAACCAAATGAATACAGGTATTCACAACTGTAATGATTATGTATGCCTTGTGTTTCCTCTTTTCACTCTTTTACTTTCTCCCATACCTGTGTGTTTGCAGCAGCAGAGCTGGATGTGAACTTGTGTCAGGAGGAGGTGACAACCGAGAGCTCTGGGGAGTTTCTGACGCCGTGCCGACATGGACGGGGCTCTTGTCTCCGAACTCTGGTGGACTTCCTGTCGGAGGCTCACAACAGCCTGGTGAGAGCCAGGCTGCCAGAGGACAGGTCAGTACCCCAGCTTCCAAATGTAGCGAAGTAGAAGTAAAAAGTAGCATGAAATGAAAATACTCAGCTATAATAAATACATTTTCTCAGCCTTTTGTTCTTAAGCTAACAGTTATTCAGCTGATCAAGGACATCCTCCTGTTTTATTTCCCCACAGTGAATACAGTGTTCCTTTAGAGAGCATATCAGAAACCCAGCTGACCCTGTGCAGCCCGGAGAGAGAGCTGCTACCTCTGGTTTTATCCCACTGCCACTACACCTTGAAGAAAGGTGGGGAGACCGACAGCAACTACGACCTGCCGGGCATACAAACCCAGCTGGCCCACCGCTTCCTGGCTGGAAAACCACTTATCCAAGCGGTAAAATCAAGCTGCTTTACTCTGGAATGCTTTTAAACTCTAAAATGTGCTATTTGTATGTGTTTGATTTACCCTACCTATTTCAAACGAATGTTAAGAAAAATGATGTTTTAGGAACATTTTAGTACTGTAGTAGGGGTTAGTTTTTTTTTTTTATAGTATTTTATTAGTGTTAGTCGTTTTTTAGCTTGTAATCTTTCTGGATGATACAGAATCTCTCCAATGTAAGCTGTGTTAGTAATATTTATTGTAAAAACGTTCTTTTTTCGTGTCTGTCTTCCGATTCTTAAGATTCAGGTAGCTTATTAGGGTGTCCCATTTCACATACCATATCTCCGATTGATTGTATGTACATGGAAGAATAGCAGACATTCTGCTTACCAGCGCTCTTGTCCTCTTTGATCAAAATCAGGACACCTCGAGATACTTAAACAGACAGCTGCAGGACTTCTCTGTGATTCTAGCCGAGGTCAGACGCAAGATTCACCAGGTAAGACCATTTCACACTCTTTTGAAAAAGGAACATTTCACGGTACCAACGTCTTCATCTGGAACTGACTAATGCCAGCCGAAGAATGTTCACAGTAGTTTTCCTGCAGGATTTTGTGAGGTCACTTTGTAGGAGGTCAAATTCCTTCCCTCTCACTTTCCCCTGTCTGTACCACAGGAACCGCTGAAGGGTTCGGTGAGCAGCGCCATGAAGACGGTGCTGCGCTCGTACACAGATGTGTGTGATGCCGTGAACGTGGTAGATATTGGCCTTCGCTTTCTTGGCAAGGCAGGCGGGGATCCACAGGGTCAACTTCTGACCTACCTCACTGATTCACTGCAGATGGAGAAGCAGATTTCCAGCACTGTAGCCAAGGTAGAAACCTCCAGACACACAGATATTTACAACACAGTTAATGTTTTATCTTCTGAGGCCGAATAAATATACAAGCTGACCGTATCTATTCTGGATAACTTTAAAGGGGCCCTATTATGCTAATTTTCAGGTTAATATTTATAATTTATGCCTATATACTGTGACATGTTTACATGCTTTAATGTTCAAAAAGCTCTTTCTTTTTCTCATACTGCCTGTGCTGCAGCTCCTCTTTTCACCCTCTGTCTGAAACCAGAGCCCAGTCTGCTCTGATTGGTTTGCTGGCCTGCACTTTTGTGATTGGTCAACCGCTTGGAGATGTCACGCCCCTAAAATATCACAGACAATGTGTTAGAGCACTAGCCAATAGAAGCACAAGTGTTACATAACAATGTCACTACATTATGAAAATGTTGGTTTTTCTCGAGTCAAAACCAATATCCTACATTTTCCAAATCCTTTCAACAGAATGGGATGTGATCATGTTGACATTTTGTATGCAATGTACCTAAACAACAACTGTTCATTGTTATAAACCTTTCATCTTTTGAAACGTATGTGTGGTATTAGGTAAAAATATCCATCATGCTATACTTTAACTTAAAACTACATGTGAATACATTGGATTATTGTTGTGATGTACTACAATGCATATTCTGAAATTCAATCTCCACTTAATATTCACTATCATGCAAAGATAATGTTACTACTTACTAGTGTTGGGTTACTCAAGTGAAGCAAATTTAACTAGTTTGCCATACAAAAATGTATTGGTTCAAATAGCTGTGGCAGAAACCAAATACAATAAGAGCCATAAATACAGTAGTTATAACTTGGCATGGTGTTTTTACATTTTTCATAATTGTCATAATGTTATTTATTGTTTTATAGGCTCTTGGAGAGAGCAAACTTGAACACAGCATATCCACCTGGCAGATCCTGACTTCTTGGAAATCTGAGCTAATGCTAAGCAGAAAGCAAGTAAGTATTACAAAAATCATAAAAATACATGACTTATTAGGATTTGGCAGAAATTATAATTATAACATACAATAGTTGATTTTGCAGTCACAACAGTCAACATTTGCAATCGCTTTTAGGACTTTAAGACTTAAAAATGCAAAATCCATGAAAGAAACTCATGGATTGACCACGGTATTTCTCTTTGAGTCTTTATTCTCACTCGTGACCCCGCTGGCTGCCGGCGACTGACCCCAAACACCATGCAGAGTTAAATGTCCTGGGCTGTAATCCATTGAAAGTGTGCTGTCTGACACGGCAGGCGCCCACAGTTTGACCCCAATAAACACTGAATTTGATGAATTCTGACTCCACTGAAGTATTTTAATTTTTTTATTACACCCAATTGCTGATCATGTTTCAGGACCCGTTTCAGAAGCTACCCACAAAGTTCCAGAAGAAGCTCTCTGAGGACGAGAGGAAGGGGCTGAAGGTTTTCCTTGCTGCCACAGATGTTGAAACATTCTGTTTGGAGCTGCATGAAATCCTGCTTCTGAAGATCAACCACGACGTGCCTGACGAGGGTTACCAAGCCCATTGGAAGTAAGCAAAAAACCATTTGCATTCACAGTGAAAACACAACCATTTTACCATTTGTGAGGTTAGAAGGTGACACACCAAATGGTAAAACAATCCCAAAACATTAGCACTTTTGGCTTTTCTTCCCTATTTTAACCAAAAGTTGTATTTAGGAATGTTCTTTAAGCTCCTGAATATCAGAAGTGTGTATATTGTCAGTTCAAAGATTATCATCCTAGTCTAAAGGAATCCATTGATTTCAGACAGTTTGAATCAGAGTAGAGTGTGGTGGTCTCACCCAGGGGCTGTCCCCTGGTATTGAAGCCTTTGGACTTCCAGGATGAGAGTGTGACCCCTCCAGGCAGCCATCTGTCAGGGAAAAGCAGCTTAAGTTGTATCCCCTCGGCCGCAGGTCATTTCTATTGAAGCAGCATCTGGGCAGGGAAGTGAATAGGCCTGCTCATGGTGAAAACAATGGATGCAGTGCTAACAGTTGTTTTGTTTGTGTCCTCCCACCCTCCCTGCTGTCTTCAGCGTCAGGTCCACCTTAGAGAACCATTTGGAGCAGAAAGGCCTTTCAGATCTGCTGGAGCTCGAGTCTTTATCAGAGGACACCACTCTGGGACAAGGGGCTGACGTGTGGAGGGCTGCTGTGGAGTTCAAATTAAGAAGATAAATTATGATTACAGTCTTATTTCTGATCTTTTTCTTATATTGCCATTTATTTGTGTTATTGTTATATCATTAATGCAATATCTGCATTAGGATTGAATGTCTATGGTAATGATAGGGCATGTTCTGATGAGTCTAAATATATCTGTATATTTTGAGATGTCTGAAAGTGACAGGATAGTGCAGTATATGTATTTAAAGCAGGCTTATTTTTATATTAATTATGTTATGTAAAGTGTGTTAATAACAAATCAGGGAACAATACTTAAGTTGATTATAAATTAATCAGAATTTAGTTTTCGGTGAAACCATTTTCCAACTTCGAATAATTACTTTTCTTTTTTGTTAAATTGTTGGCACTTTCTATTTTATTTTTCCTATTTTTCTTAAAAGACATCTTACATTTTCAAAGCTGTTAAAATTGAGTCCATTTTATAAGACGGGCTCTTGATTTATCTCTCTAAAGACAACTTACAAATACATAACTTTAAGTAAAGTATATAATAGATAAAACAAATGGGGAAACATTTGAAACACTTAAGTTTAACGGTGTAAAGATCAGGTAAAGAATTAGATATCGTATCACATTACATGCTTTATTGTTTGACTTTAAGAGGTTGAAGAATGTTGAGATGAAATAGTGTATTATTGAACTCATTGCATAAACAAAATAAAACTTGTACATTTTACACTTGGTGGTATTTGTCAGTTATAATAATATGAATAACTGTTTACACATGACCAGAAACACATTCCTTCTAAGCAAGACAAAACTCTCATAAATATTTTCAGTAACATTTACCACATAGGTTTTTTCTCTACTCAACTGGGCAATGCCTGAATAAATGGACAACCGTTTCTGGACATCCATAAAATCAGTTTGCCATCACACCTCCCTTTGCAAAGTCAACCAAACCGTTGTTCGATCCACGCCCCTAGGAATCCAACTCAGTAGACCGACAGCTCCGTACAGCCAATCAGATGACATAACCAAGAGACAATGATCTCCCTTAACCAATCACAGACATCCAGAGGCGGCAATTACGTGTGTTGTTACCACAGAGATGATGTTACGCGTTATTTGGTTCTCAGTGTTTGTCCAGTGAGTCAACGGAGTACTTTCACTGGGTATCAGGAGGATTGTGTTGGGAATTCAAACCGTAACGCGTACTACAGCTTAACAGCAATGGTGCCAACCAGCTTTTGAAGTAAGTACTTACATTGCTTCTTCAGCAACCAACACATTTTAGATTAATTGAGGGATAAACGTTGTATCTAGAGAAACGCTTAAAAGAAACAAGCCAGAAACACAGCCGTTATTATTTCCAACCAATAACCGTTAACGTTAGCTTAGTTTGGCAGCTGTAATAAGGCAGTGATTTAACAAAGATAGTATCTTAACATACTTTTTAAAATTACGTCAAGTTACATTGCAAAACATCCAGTTGGGAATTATCTGTAGCAGTCAAGGTAACGTTACTACTAGCATCACTCTTACATTAACCGTTAACGTTAGTTACGCTATAATAACTGTTAGCTTACCGTAAGAGTAGCATACAAACGGCTAGCTTGCAATTATGTTAACTCACACTAGCTGCTGTGTTTTCTTCTATAGCTCGTGCGGTTTCACACGTCACGATGTGTATCATACCTGGCATGCTTTTACAACCTTGTGTTTGTGATGGGAAGATGATTACGTTAGCTAACAGAGCTAACATACACCTGCTCTAGTAAAGCAGCACTGGAGTTAGGTTACCAAGTACATTTACTCAAGAACTGTACTTAAGTAAAAAAAATGTAGGTACCTACTCAAGTATTTTCTCATGTTGCTTTTACTCCACTAGATTTTGTAGGCGAATGTTGTACTTTTTACTCCATTACATGTATTTTTGTTATTTTGCAGATCTAGATTATTAATACAAAATGTAAATGAACTAAGACATTATTATATTTCTTACAGGTTAAGCTAGCCAGTAGTGTATATACAACTCCAGTTTGTCCAAGTGCATCATTGAAGTTATGAATACAATACACAAATACACGAATAATTATAATACAATAATTTTAAATATATTGTGCGCTTCTGCATGACGAGTACTTTTGGTACTTTAAGTATATTTGTTATGCTAATACTTTTGTACTTTTAAGTAAGTGCAATTTTGAATGCAGTACTTTTACTTGTAGCTAAGTATTGTTACAGTGTAGTATTGCTACTTTTACTTCTATCACTGTTCAGCAGCTATTGTAAAAAGTTGTCAGAAGCAACAATTATGTTTTTTTTTGGCTTAAACTTAGCAACTCCAGGGTTATATTAGCCTCATAGCCTCATCATCATTACATAGTATTTATTTTACACGTTACCTAGCTTGAGTCGTAGCCAACATAATAAACATTAAGCTGTTAAAGCACAAAACAATTAATGTAACTGTAAGTACTGTTAGTTATACTTTGATTTCAGCTTGTTCTCCACGTTTTCAACCTAACCCAGCTGTAGTATAAATAGAGTTAATTTGTTGTTGGTTACCCTGGGAGACAAACAGTGAAGAGGGAAGTGGCTGTGACTCCCTCTGTTGTTGTGGTTTATTCTTCTAAATCCAAAAAGCCTGCGGGGCCTATTGTGTCTCATAAGCAAGCCTTGTTGACTCTATTTCAGGTTTTCAAAGAATGCATCCAACACGAAGCCCTTCATCCATCCCGACAGGTGTCTCAGGAGATGCCTTGGATCTCATATTGTCAGGCTCCCAGCTATCCATGTCCAAGAGACCCAGCAGTGCATCACCTGGGAAATACTTCTCTCGGTCTGTGTCGGTTTCTGTGGCAAGTGACAGCAGAGGGAAACGCAACACCCTGGTGAGAAACTGTGCTGGCTACAGAATGGATTGTTAATGAGTTATACCATAATCTAACCAAGATGCAGGGGCAAATCATGACACTCTTATTAGTTGCTTGTCTCAGAAAACATCTTATAATTCATTAACACACTTTATTAAATCCACAGAGCGATGTCGGCTTTGGTAGCTCCCGCTCCATCAAGAACCTTCGGCGGTCCAACAGCACCACCCAGGTTAATCAGCAGGCCAACATCAGTTTAAGGTACAAAAACAAACATGGTGGGGTATAACCCTGGAACATTTGTAACACATTTATATGTGAAACAGAAGTATTGCAGTGAAAATCACTATCCCCTCTTTTCTCTCTGGGCCAAACCTATTTTCTTCAGTCTTATCACTGGCATTGACACACTAAACTGCATAAAGAACAGTATGTGCTGCTGATACATGTACTGTGCAGAGCCTCAGGCAAAATGTGCTCTTAGATAGATCATCAAATGACCTTTACAGCATCTTACATGCGTCTGAAAAATGAAGGACATGTTTTTGATATGTCATAAAAGAATGTGCATTTCAGATAGTGTGTGCAAGACTGTCTTTACGTCGTGCTCATGTTGCAACAACATTGGTTGTAGGATGTACTTTCTTTTTTGTTGTTGAACTTTTCAGCCTCCTATGGACCTGTGTTGGAAAAATGCACTTCCCAAAAATAAATAAACCCAGGATTAATGTATGTTACAAATCTAATGCAATCGTGATATCCATATCAAGTTGCAAAAAAGTGAACCAACTAGCTCTCCCTGTGTCTCAGCTCTCCTGCATGGAGTGTTTGCTCTTTAAAGCAGAGTGGCTCTCTTCCCTGAGCAACAGCTGGCAGGCCTAAAGCCTCAGCAGTTTGGACAATAGGAGTTGTAGCGCGCCAGCTCCTGCATGATAAAGAGTGGAGGGATGCTGGGCGGCTGTTGCTAGGGTCACGGGGTGCAGCAAATTGCTTTGTCCCAGGTTAGAGGGGGAGGGCCCGGACCCTGGAGTCAGGTTACCCCCACCACCAGGAGCCAGTGAAAGGAGAAGTGTGTGTCTGTGTGTGTACACGCTCTGGTTCTATTGTCCAGCAGCTGCCGCCATCGCCCCTCCGAGGATGCAGACCAGAGGGGCTTTACATTTAAAGACATTCTAAATACCCCCCTCCGAATCTCGGAGTCTTTCTGGGCTGTCATTGGGTCACTCACCACCCCTCTCACCGTCCTCCCTCTCCTCCCTGCACCACTTGTAAAGCAAAAAAGAGAGGAATGTGCTGCCTGAATTGTGTTGTCAGATGGCTTTTCATTGGGCCAGCTGGCATCCCCCCCTGAAGACACACTCGCTCACTCACATGCACATTTCTATACTAACCCAGACAGAAACACCCTGCACCGCACAGATACCAGAGGCCTGACAAGAGGTCCCACTACATCTGCGCCTCATGATGGAGGTGTTTGGTGTGTGAGGCTATTTGGAGGGTGAATGACAGGCCATTGGGATAAACATATGCATGCACGTATTTACATGGAATCCATAACGGAGTTCCCCTAGCAGACGGTCAGCTGCTACACACTGAATTCCAGAACTTGTGGGGGATAGGAGAAGGGGGTGAGTCCTGTTTCTGCAGCTGTCATTACAACATTTAATCACAAAGGCTGCCGCTAAAAGCCAAGACTCGGGGTTCCGTCACTGTGTCGTGTTGTTTAATTGTGTTTAAAAGTGCACTGCTAAGCCCTTGTTACGTGAAAATGAAGCCCAGAATGTGATTTTACCCCACTAAATACGACACGTTAGAATGAGTTTTTTCTCACATTTAGCACCACAGCCTTTTAAAGAGTCAGTTCACCCAAATTGCAGAAACATACTTCCTCAACCCACTCTACTGAAACTAATCCTCGCAAATAGATAACAGTCAGATCATTTTTGGTCTTTTTTGTTGCCACAGTAATAATATTATACATTATTGTTCTACATAAACAATGTGACTAACCTGCGGCCCGCTTGTCTTGATTTCCCAGTCAGGAGCAGAGTGAGGACTACCTGGCTCTGTTTGACAGCAGCTCAGATGGACGCAAGAAACTGGCTAGCCTCAGCAAAGCCTCTCCAGACAGAACCACATGGAACATCCTGGTAATTGTCATCAACCACTCTGTTTGTTAACTCGTCATCACCCTTGATTTAATATACGTCTTGACAATCATATTATCTATACTAAGTAGCTCAAAGGTATCCAGTATATCCTGAATTAGGGGTCTTGCAATATACCGGCATTTGCGATAACTTTGATACATGAAAAAAGAAGAATTTGTGTGTTAAAATACAAATACAGTATGGTTATGTTGTCTAAATAACCCAGCAACTTTTGACTTCACTTCCATTTATTTCCGTACTTTTTCCTCAATCTCCCTACATTTTCAGTGGAATTAATTTTCCAATAAAAGACACAAAAAACCCACAACAAACTAAATAAAAGGGGGATTTGACAGAAAGCATTATTATTATTATTATCTTTTTTCTATAGATCCTTGTGTTCATAAACATGCCCAGCACATTTCGTAAAATCTATCAGAATATATTAATCAGAAATATCCTACAATTTGACACAAAATGATTTCAACTAGAAAAACCAATCCGTCCCATTAATTGATTCTCTAAAACATCCAAATCAACTCAAAAATCCTGGTTAAAACTGCCATCTTGGATTCTTAAGAACTAGGAAAGCGATTCAGCATCCTCAATAACTCTGGGAACTACTCCAATATTGTCCAAACTGTCCAAACCATTGTTGGAAAATTATCCATGATGATAGATGATTTTGCCATTTAATGCAAATTAACGCATTTTGTGCTAATTGTGCAAATTCCCCAACATTTGCAAGTTAGCATCTGGCAGTTGCTGAACGCTGGGTAGTTGTGTTGGACATCAAACATGGATGTAATCCACATGTCCAGGGTTAATAGTGCTAGCAAGTTGGCTATTATGCAGAATTTAAAAGTTTTACTATAGTTGTTACCAGATATCAGTTTTAACGGTGTCAAATGTTTCCTTAGTTTATGGGGTAATAAGTGTGTATTCCTTGCTTTAAGGATGATCAGCCCAGAACATTCCCCCTTCACTCGAGCTCCCGCAGCACCGACGGTGTGGTCTCTCCCTCCGGCCCGAAGAAAAGAGAGCCTGGCATCACTCTGGCTGCCACCTTCACTGCCAACAACAGGTGGGCAACTCTGACACACACTCGCTAAAACGTCTAACAAAAAAAGAGTTAAGTCCACTGGTCCGGTGACTACCTGCACTGCTGCATTCTGGTTTCCTAGCTGCTTCTCATGTTTCATACCTGTTGATCATGGCAGCTGATACTGCCTTCAGGAATTCCTCCCACACACTGATGACTTCTTCTTTCATGGAAATGGTGTGCATAGGCTCAGTTTGTAATAGGGTTGAAGAATTTGTGTCAAAGTATGTAGTATCAGTAACTGTAATTCCTAAGGAGGTGAAAAGGGGCAGTGGCCTTTTCAAGTCCTTTTTCTCACGTACAGTACAGGCGTAGACATTAAGGGTAAAATAATAATGTTATTATCACTGGCCCCACCATTGTAACCACTGGCCCGGAGCATTCGTCCAAAGAAAATTGACTTATAATGAAGAAAATTAACACATTTGTTGCAATAGTAATTTATGCACTAACTACATTACTACTTGTACTACAACATTTGAATTATCAGTTCTTCCTCATTTTCCTCAATTGTTCATATTTGGTTTATTAAAATAATGATATTGTGGTCATTGTTTAAAAATGTCTGCTATTATTATGAGTATTATTATTTGTATAATGTGCTTTCTGCCTTCCTGTCATTAGGAGTTAGAAATGTAATGGCTGTGTAATAGATTAGATTAGAACCTTCATTATCCTAAACTGCTGGGACATTTCGCCAATACCTTTATATTTTCTACTCTTTACTTACTTGTCAGCATTGGTCGGCATTGATGTACAGAGCCGACAGAAGACCTTGTTTATATTGGCATCATATTGAGAGGTGCAGCCAGTGACGCGTCATAAAACCAGGAAGTAAGCTGCTGGTTCCCTCGACAAAAAAGTAATGGGATTTCTCCACAGGGTTTTGGAAAACAGCTGGAAATAAGGTTTGTGGAAAACGAACCTGTTTGATAAATGCACGTTTTGTTCAGCTGGATAATATCCACATGTCTGCCCTACTTTTATAATTTTCGAATCATAAATCTAATCGATAGATTATAAAGGGTTTTAAGACGCGTCACTGCACCACTAGAAGCCAACTCGTCAAGCTCAAGCTGGCTGAAACTTTCTCTCCCTCTTCTTCTCATGCTCCCTGTCACTCTCCTTTAACTCCTCCGGTGACTTTCTTTTATTTGAAGATTGTTTTTTGCCCGGCGCTTGGCCGGTTACCGCTGGTATTAAAAACCTTTTGGCGAATGGTTAGGTGGCGCGATAGTCTGTAGTGAACAAAGGAGGAGGAGGAGCCTGCTCTAGCTGCGCTCCACAGCAAACAGCTGTTTGCTTTTCACCCAACAACGACAACCGACTCACGGAATGTTATTAATAAACGAAACAATTTAACTAAATTGCTAGTCAAAATACCAATACCACAGGAAACATTTTTGTTTTTTAAAGCAATATTTTTAGTGGCCCGAGCGGGCAAGTGGAAAGTACGTTATGCTGGCCCGGGGTGTCTAAATAGTGCTTCCGGGCCAACGGGCCATTTATAATGTCGAGCCCTGCAGTATCATGGAGGGTGTCATTGTGCCTTTTTTGTTTTTCCCAGGAGCAACAAGGGAGCTGTGGGGAACTCTGTCACCACCATCTTACACAACAACTACTCTGAGATACCACTCACGCCTAAGAGCTCCAACCAGAGGCCGTCCTTTAAGTATGGACTCAAATTAACATTGCTTGTGTGACATGTGTTTGGAGATTTTATTAGGCCTTATCCAATATGTTGGGCGGATTAAATGATTCATATCAGTCAGTGTCAGTTATATCGTGTTTCTTATTCAATGTCATGATAATTGTTTATGTGCACAGTACTGATATTTTATTATGTCGGAGGTATATGTTATTATGATCACAATATCTTTTTTTGTACTATGAAAATAGTTTCACACTCCACCAAAAAAAACCTTAGTAAACCTACCTATTCTGTCCATCCTTTAAATAATAATGGTTTTATAGACATTACATTGTATTTAACATATTAATATTAATGTGTTGACATATGTTTTTCATTAATATGGTTTTTATTTGTTTTAACTACTATTACTTTGAAAATATCCTTAATTTCATTGGTCTCTAATTAGTTAAAATGCTGAATTGTCTTTTCGGTGTTTTTACAGCCCACACTTTGTCTGTCTTCTCATCTCCTGCTTGTCAGTCATCTGTACAGCACTGCAATAACCTTTAACAAGGTGTCATTCCAATTAAGATTAAGATTGACAGTTTTTTCGTCTTTCAGCAACATCCTGAAGGCCACAGCAAACGACGAGGTTTCACAAGATAACAGCTCCCTGACAAAGTCTCAGAAGAATTTCTCTTCAACTTCCTCCACCTCAAACAACAACTCTCCAGTGTCGGCCCAGGGAGGCAGCCCCACCACGCCCCGAAGGAGGGAGGCCACTGAGGAGGAGGCCGAGAGGTCTGACCCACAGCACGGTTGTGTGTTTACTGTTCTGATGATGCTGTCTGATAATTGTTCCGTGACCCATAGCTGCTCCTTTGTGTATTTGAAGGTTTATTCAGCAGGTGAACCAGGCAGCAGTCGCTATCCAGCGCTGGTACAGAAGCCATGCCAAGAGGCGACACACTAACCAGGCAGCGCTCAAACGCACCCTTGCCAGTAGAAGAAAGGTATCCATCTGTGCCCCAGGCTGCCTCTATCCTCACCTTTTATTCTCCATGGCCTTAACTGGGTTCATCCCTCTCTTTCCATTGCTACTGTAATAAGAGATACACTGTCTATGCTCTGCCCTTTTAGGAGTGGGAGGAGAGAACAGAGGAGGAGAGTCACCTGGAGCAGCAGCAGAAAAAGGACGAAGACAGGAAACGGATCCGAGAGGAGAAAGCTCGTCTGGCCCGCCTGGCTGCCATCCAGGTGCCCACATCTGATTCACTTCTAGCTGCATTAGCTTTTCCATAAAGTGTGGAGACGTGCAAGAGATATCTTTTTAAAAGTCTGGTCAAAACTGATGTAGAAAAGACTGTGATAGCCTGACTCCCTGGCTTAATGTGTGCCAAAGTATTTGTCTAAACACCCAGCAATAAGGCGCTTCTGTTTACAGATCTTGCCTGGGAAACATACTTGAAATCATGTTCCCATTATGCTACAAAGGTTCTTAAAGAAAGACATCTTGTCTTTATTGGACATTCTCTAGTGACAATCTATAAAATAGTCTGTAGATATTTGATTTGATTTCATGCACTTAAGTTCCTTATACCTCCAAGCACTTTTTTTCTCCCATGATTGTAACGGCTTACAACATTGTCTTGTGTCTCCCTCTGGTGGTGTGTAACAGGAGCTGCAGCAGAAAAGAGCCCAGCGGAGTGCAGAGGTGCAGTGTGCAGCTGAGGTGGAGCAGGAGAGCCGGAGGCAGACGGGTGTGGGCGGACGAAAGAAGCCACCCAGGATTTCTCTGACCAACAAAAGCTCAGCCTCAACGAGCAACAACAACCCGATGTCTCCCATAGATGTGAAAGCCAAGAACACAGGTCTGTGTTCCTTTAACTTCGTATACATCATTCATTTACATTCATCCTTCTCATAAGATGAGATAAGTCATTTGAACTTATTAGGAAAGAAAATAAGAAAGTCATTATCTTTGAATGATTTGTGGATAACTAAAAGTCTGGAATTCACCCAAAAGTACTGCAGAAGTTCTGCAGCAGGAGTGAAGAAGACATTAAGCTCGACATTTGTAATATACACTTTTATTTTGAAGTTTGAGAGAAAGTTAGAGAAGGTCCTGTAACTTTGTGCAACTTGGTCCAAATTATTTAATATTTGGTGTTTTATTATGGACAAGTTTCTTAAACGTTTGGGCTGGCTGTCAACTATTGTTCTTGCAAATAAAGCACAATTAAATCACTGCATCTCCTATTTTGAACATAGAAAAATACGATTATGACGTAAATATGTAATAAATGTCTTTTTATGTGTTCCCACAGACTCTAATTTGAATGTTGTTTCTGAATTGGAGCTAAGCTTCAGAGCCATTTCCCCAGCTCTGTCCAATCACAGAGGCTCTCAATGTTCCCAGGTAAATACAGTGTATCTTCACAGCTTTGCTCTCCACTTGCTTCCTTCCCTACCCTTTCTCCTTATATTTGACAATCCTCTTTGTGTTTCCGTCTCAGGATCAGGAGGACAGAGCAGAGGTCGAGCTGGAGCAGCAGCAGCAGCACAATGACAGGAGATTAATTCGTAAAGAGAGAGCTCGTCTGGCCCGCCTTGCTGCCACCCAAGCAAACATTTCAGATGTATGTACTTTGTTGTAAACTTAATACATGGTTAAAGTAATGATTGGTCACAACTCTTGATTGACAGATGTCTCCCTCTGGTGGTGTGTTGCAGGAACTGCAGCGGAGGGTTGCAGAGGCTCAGCACATAGCTGTGGTGGAGCTGGAGAGCCTGAGGCCAACGGGTGTTGTCGGACGCAAAAAAACACCAAGGATTTGTCTGGCTAACAAAAGCCCAGCCTCACCGAGCAACAACAGCCCAATGTCACCAATAGATGTGAAAGCCAAGAACACAGGTGGGCCTTATGAAATGCCAAAATATCCACTAAAGCAGCGGTTTTCAAAGTGTGAGGCGCGCCTCCCCTGGGGGGCGCCAGAGAGCTTCAGGGGAGGCGCAGCGTGAGACACAAAAGAACGAGAAAAAGACGAGTAAAGTGACACTTGCCCACTTGTGGCTGTCTGTGGAGACCGAGTTCCCCCACCTCGCCAAAAAGGCTGTAAAAGTGCTCATTCCCTTCACCTCCACCTACCTGTGTGAGTGCAGGTTTTCCGCATTGACTTTGATCAAAAGCAAGTACCGGTAAAGGCTGCAGCCAGAGGATGATCTGCGTTTATTCCTGTGTGCATCAAAGACGCAGACTCATTGTTCCCACTAAAGTAAGGGTGAGTGTAATAAGGAGGCAAAGTTGACGTTCAGTGTGTTACCTGGAGCATATAAGGATTTATCCACCATGTTGAAAATGTTAAATAAAATATGTCTTGAGAACACGGCGTGCGGAAATATACGGGTCGTGCTGCAGCTAGAGGTGCCTGTCCTCTGTAAGAAGGTGTCAGCGACTGACATGCAAGGAAGAACGGCTGTCCACAGGCTGTTCCAACTTTAACAACTGTATTAACTGCCAGGGTAGTGAATTGAACATGCAATTGTAATTGGGTGTGTGGTATATTTTCATGCACGGACACGCATGTTCCACAACACACAAACTGAACAACACTCAATTTTCCGATCGCTACCAGTGTCCTTGCGATCTTGTTATAATAACAAGTTCACGTTACTGATGCAATGTGGTTGAGACCATTCGGGCTTATTCTAGAGGGGTGCAAGGAATAGTCCAAGTAGTGGGGGAGTTTTATACAATATGTTTAAAACCTAAAAATAAAAAGGTTTAAAAAAGTTATTTTTTAATGTTTTAAGGCGGTGACGCTACTCAGCCAATCAAATCGGTGCAGTCAGCACGATAGATTCAAACACACACAGAGACACGACAAGAGGAGAGAAACAGTCGGAGTAATTTCAAATGGCGGAAGGTAGACAGCGAAAACAGAGCATTTAATTACATTTTCTCTTACTGGACCTCTTTGAAATGCAATTGAATACCCCTGCATTATAGCAACAACAACAATAATAATAATAATAATAATAACAGCAATAATAATTGGGAGGGGGGGCGCGGCTGTTCTTATGTTCTCTGAGGGGAGGCTCACCTACCCACACTTTGAAAATCGCCGGGTAGAGATTTCTACCAAAAAAATTTCATTTAAGTCTAACCTTGTAATCGATTTTTTACATGCACTACACAGGCACCGTTTTTATTTGGCAGATGAATAACCACTTTGGTAGAACGTTACTACGCTATCATTTTGATATTAGGTCTTGATATTGGTATAATTACTGATGGGGCATAGTCCTAACTACGTTTGTTCAAAAGTCCGTGTGCGAAATATACAAGTAAATATCAATATGTTTTATTCTCCTTATTGTCGTTCATTGTCCCTAATTGAGTAAGGTTGAGCTATGATGTCAAATTTTTCCCCTCACTAAACATTTTATACCGTATTTCTTTTTCATTTAGGACAAGTCAAGACAGTCGTACCCCACACTACTCTCATCAGGTATCCTAAATCAGGGATTACAACGGGAGAGTTCACGTGGTCTAACTACGAAAATTGAAGTTGTAAATTTTTTTTTAGAAGGGCCCTCGGTACCGGGGGGCCCTGGGGGATCCTCCTCCATCCAGGGGGCGTCGGCGGTTGGGGCCAGTTTAACAGTAGGTGGGTGTAACTCCTACCGAAGGATCGTGGGTACGGCTCTGTGTCAAAGCACCTGGATGAAAAACCGCAAAACGGGGTGACCGTCCCGTACCCCCCAAATTGGCTGGGCGAAAATTTCATCAGGTTCACAATCACGTACATAAAAATACATAAACGGAACCATCTTACCCGGTCCTAAATCATAAGGTTAAAAAAATAACTTAAAAAACCCAGGGGGGGTTACCACTGAGGTACTAGTGCCGGGGACGACCGATTTACACTTGCTTAAATACCAGACTTAAAACGACTTTTACGCTTTTTCGACTTATACAATAAATCCGACTTACCATCGACCGCAAATAGAATTTTTTGTATGTCTTTTCGAATTTAAAATTTTCTTTGTCCAAAATTTTTTTCCATATTTCTTGTTGTACATATCGGAACTACAGGACTATCGAGACTTATTAACATTACCCACTTACCAAAAGACGTCCGACTTTTATCGGACGTCCTCAATTTTGATAGTCTACCAATTCATCACATCACTCTAATTAAACATAAATTCTACTCTTTTCCGTTCATTTTACCGAACCCTTCGTCCCTCCTTAGAAACTTGACGTTTGAAGAACTTGATTGAACTTATCCACTTACTAGACGAGCGGGTACGGTTGCCGTAAACTACTGTAGGGGTATTATGCGAAATCTACGACACTACGCGACGGTAGCAATGGTTTGGACCACTTCAAAACCCGGTAAGCTCGTAAAAGTGACTTCAATACTCTTTTGGCAACGAAAGCTACCACTCGTACCACTCGCTTAAACCACTCGTAAGTATCCGTGCCGTAAACTTCTTTAGAGTTTTGAAAGGACCTGTTACAGAAGTGCCGACCTGACGAATGTGTGTACACTGCAAACTCGTGAAAACGTGTAAAGTAATCCTCATATGAATGTAATCCCTCCAATGAATGAGAGAGAGAAGAGAGAGAAAGAGAACTAGCGGGGGAGAAGGAGAACTAGTAAGAGTAGTAGCCACCCACACAAGACACACTCTCTCTCTCACCACTCACAAAGACGAACACTCTCTCTCTCACACACTCTCTCTCTCAACACACTCTCTCTCTCTCTCACTCACTTCTCGTACCCTCACACACTCTCTCCTCTCTCTCTGTCCTCTCTCCTTCTCACACAGACACACACCTCTCCTCTCTCTCACACAGACACACCGACCCTCTCTCTCAAAACACATACTCTCTGCACTCCACTCACTCACACACACACGACAATTACAATGCGGAGTTACGTAACGGTGCGACAGAAGGTACAAATTTTTTTTCGTGAAATCTTTTCATATTGTATAAAAAAACGCTTTTCAAACTGTTAAGAAAGGGGTAGAAACGACCTTTCCGAACTTATCAAACTATAAACTTACGCAAGACGCGAATTTAATCCGACTTCGCTGCAATCTTTAATTCTATAGTTTACGATTCATCCATCCACTAACTTACAAATGTTGTGGACACACACATTTGGGTCTCTAGTTTACAAACGGTACCACAGAGAGACGCTACGTACAGTGAGTGCATACACACACCGGACGGTTAGACGGGTGGTTGGTACTGTTCGTGACGGGCTCGTGACTCAGGGTTCTTACGTAACTCTAATATAGACTGTTAAAACCGTGGACCCGAATTTTGATACCGGAGGATAGTTTCTTAATGGTCTGGCACTCGTAGTCCCGTTGGGGCTGTTGACTATACAAACAAAAAAAACCCAAACTACCACCATTTACACTTCCTCCTCTCGCGAAATAGATTCACATCAAGGAGAACGAGACTTCTTTCTACGCCTTGTTAAATTGTAACCCTAAGTAACCCCTCGGATCGACCTGAAAAAACGAGAGAAGTACCGGGGGTTCTCCGTAAAAACAAATTGAAATTAAATAAAAAAATTAAAAAAAAAGTTGGAATCCTCTCCAAAAGGATGTAAAAAAGTACCTTTTTTATAATAAGACCTCTCACCATCCCAAACCCTTAAGACCGTTCAAATTTTGTAAAAACCGCCACTCTTAAAGGTTCGGTGGACGGAGGTGAGACAAAACTCGTAGTTCGTGAGATCTGGTCTCAGGACGTAGCCCACCCATAGCACCCGATGGGCGCCCCACTGGTGCGTTTTTTCCCACTAAACGCCCACCATAAAAAAGTTGGCGAAAAAAGGCCCCAAGCCAAGGACCCCGATTTTGTTTTCTAACTACGCCCAGCCCAACGCCCAACAACGGCGTATTATTTATATAAAGTAAAGATTAATCAAATTACAAATTTAGGAGTCTTGAGAGGGGGCGCCCTGGCTCATAGTATGGAGACGTCGCGGTAGATGACGACAACTCGCGCGGTGTAAGACTTACCGGGACTCCGACTTCGAGAGATCGCCTCTTATGCCGGTAAAAGTTATTGAGAAAGGAGTCTCGCTTTGAGGTTCAAGACAGTGAACTTCGTTGAATGAACCTTACTAGCAAGGAATAACTACTCCGAGTCTTTACTGGTAGCAGAGCCGAATACACACTCGGTTAATACGTTCCGGACGTCCACACGTAATTGATTATCTTGCAAATGTGGACGTAATATAGACTCCCAAGCCTAAGCGCGAAAAGCTAGACACGCCGACAAGACACAGCCCCGTACGCCTTGATAACCGTAATACTCTCTCATGCAGTATCCCCCCGAGAGAACCATGTACGTGCATCCGTCCGTCTCAGGAGGTTGCCGCCTTAGTCCTCAAAGAGGTACCTATAGTTCCCTGGTCTACGTCAAAACCGCCTCACCGAA